GAACCTGGGTACATGCCTTTGCACCTGAGAGCGGAAATTTGGGGCTTCCATTTAAGTGTTACCCACACTTAAACGAAGTCCATCTTTAGCTTCCTGAGGCATCTGTTGCTTATGTTCTGCTACAGCAACATTTCCAGTATCACCACAGGTCTTATCAGATGTTAGTGGTTTTCTCTCATGGTTTGGGTTTTTGGCTTGTTGTTTTCTGAACTGTCTAGGACTGGCAATAAAGATGACTCCTGGAAGACACTGTAAAGCAGAGGTGGCCAGCCTTCCTAACCCTAACCAGCTGTATACTAAAATCCTCACATGGCCAAGAACCACAAGTCACATACCACATATCTGGAAAGCTGAACAGAGACCAGGAAAACTTTACAGGAAGGTGACGGCCAGTTACTCTGAAGTACCACAGTGGGACAGGGCTGGATTTGTCACACAGCCTGCTCTCAGTGACCCTCTGCCATCAACCTTAACCACTCTTTATTTGGAGTAATTTAGATCTGAGGCTCTAAGCCAACCCAATGCTGATCATGAAACAAAATCATGACTTGAATAGCTCACAGTTCAGATGTGGTTCTGGCACTACAAGCCAATCCCCTTGGGCAATGACTTTCATTTTTTTGTCAGATTTGGCTTTTTATTTTGTTTTTTGAAGGAATGATTTTATTTCCTCACATTTATTAGCATTCAGATCTACTATACAGTGCTTGTTTCCTCCGCAATTCCTCCTGGTGAACCACCTTCATTGCTCCCACTTCTGTCCGTGTTTCGAACTAGTTTCAACCAGGCATGGTCAAACCACACCCCACATGACTGCAGATGATGGAACACACCACTGCATCAAGCTCTCTTGCTAAAGCAGTGGTTTGTAGTATCATTGCTGGTTGACTGTCTGAAAATCCCTATGTACAAGAAACACTGAAGTAGTGCTAAAAGGCAGGCTAGTTCCAAAAACCATTAAGTGATGTTTGTGCTGCAGACTTCTGGACAGCATAGCTCTTCCTGACAGCTGCGGTCAATGACCAAAGCAGCAACGCCAGCAGCAGCTCCACATGCGAGGGCAGCACCTTTACTAGTTTGGTGGACTGAGCCTGAAGTGGTGTTAAGACACCATACTAAGAAGTCTATACTTGGTCATCAGATGAATAACCCTCCTGAGGTCCAGTGAAGATCTGTTAATGTAGGAACTGCTCTAAGGATTAGGAAACTAGGATCATGTTCAATTTGCGCTAGCAGGGCTCTGGCTCCAGTTTCCTGAGGAATGTGGGAAGGCAGAAAGGGAAGAGATCAGGAAAGACAAGTGTAATGAGTCAATCTTTGGAAAGCAAGCTAAGGATTTTACTCTAGTTAGTTCATTTACAGGCTGGTTCTCTAGCTGCAGCCAGCGAGCACTCACAGTTTCAAACTGGAGCAGACAAGCTTGGGAGCCTGCCACTGTCAGATGTCCCCAGGTCAACTGTATGCAACGGCTAAGATCACTCCCTTATGCTCCCTCACAAATGCTTCCCCTGCCCTTGCTGAAAACACTGGTCTCCAGCTCAGGAGTCCTCTCATCTTCTTCCTTCACTTTTGTGGAGAGCCCAGGCCAACAACCTCCTCTTCCTCAATGCCACTGACTATGCCTCTGGGTTTCCCCAATAAGAATCAAGGCTCATGAGCAGTCATTATACTCCACAAGCCTGGAGCCCTCTTCCATCCCCCTGCCATTTGTGCACAAACACAGCCACTGGACAGCCTTTGTTCCTAGCCCATACAAAACACTTTAAGATTTCACTTGAATCTGTCCACTGGGTCGTCTTCTTTCTCTGCTAAGCAACTTGGCCTCTAACTTGCTACCCAGTTCTTCCAGCTTTCCCCACACTGTAGATTTACAAGACCTGATCTTTCTTCTATCCAGTTGTGTTTCTCTCCTAAGCTGTTCCACTCAGCAACCACTACTGAACCAGTCACAGGAGGAATAAGTGTTTCAGGGTAGGGAGCAGAGCTGCTTCACCGTGACAAAAGGTCAGTTACTGAGTAGTAAAAAGCTTGACTCAGGAAAGAACATTTGAACAACAATGGCAAGAATCATCCAGCAAGCAGAAAACCCCCAAACCCAGTTCCCACAGTTCAGGTAAATAACCACACTGGATATTTATTTCTTTGTTGAAGCTGGGACAGCCACTATGTCTTTGTATCTGCCTTACTAGGAGCCAGGTAGGACTGATGCTGTCATCAGTGCAGAGGAGATGGAGGGACATCCATTACTGAAGTTACCCATTTGCTAAAGTAATCCACCACAAACCTCAAGCATATCAGGAAGAAGGGAAGTTTTATGTAACAGTGTTTGGCCAGATCATGATAAGCCAGAAAGAGGGTAAGGTGCAAGAGGTGTCCCGTTGCTTACAGT